GTTTCGGATTTGCTACATCGGTATCGTCTATCCACACACCGTGTATCCTGCAAGTCGTTGGCAAGTATCAAACCAATCAGATTTGTTGGTAAGCAGTGACCACATTCTTTTCTGGTGTTTGCAATACGTCGATTGCCGCACTGATATAATCCTTGTCAAGAGTTTGCAGCAATTGTGTACGCTTTTTGGATTTCTTAGCGGCTTGGCTTGATTCTGTGTTATGGTGAGAGAATCTATTCCTCGCCGGGCGCATCCTTAGATGCTTGTCCTCTCCGAGGGTTGTTGTCTTAGATCTGTGGAAGGATAGCATTCAATGCAAGAGTTCTATTGTTTCGAAATTCCTGCTTTGATTTGTAGTCCTAACTTGCCAAGCCATTCCACGCATGGGCATTTCTCTGCTTAGCGGACCAGGCTCCTTGAGAGAGCTTCTATGGGGTGTTTAAGTGAGTGTCAAACTAGGAAAATGGTCCTGCAGTGAGCCAACAACTCAGGATGCCTTTGTCAAGCCGAGTCAAGCCACAGCGAGCGGGTTTTGAACCAATTTGAAACCAGGACAACCTTGGAGTCGCCAACCCCTCAAGAACATTTTTTTTGGTCTTTGGGGGCGAAAGGTCCCCATATGTAGGGTCTTGGGTTCCGAGGCGCACATGTACCCGCTTCGCAACTTGCGCGCAGGGCAAGGCGTTCCGCCACCCGATCCACCACATCAAGTGGCCGCCCCGGAGTGGCGAGTCTTCCCTCGCAAAAGATATCGTTCCGTATTGCCCATTGGGGGTTGACGGGAGCGAACAGAGGATTATCCACTCAGCTAACTCCAAGCCCATCTTAGTGTCAGTGGAGCAAGCTGGAAAGACTGCAGTTCACTTCAGTTTGCCAGCTTTATGGTTGCGATATTTATGGAATTCTCCGTCTTCACCGTGCAAGAGAGCATCTGCGTATTGAAGACGTGGTTCGTGAGACATCTGGGAGAATGGGTGACACTCAATTGGGTGAAGCATAGAACCAAGCCCCCTTGAAAGTTCTTGGCATCCTTTCGTTTTTTCTTAAACGCCGCTCAAAGGGGACAGCTTTGGAGCCATGTTAAATCCGCCAGTCAAAGGAGAACACGTCAAGCACACCCTCACCCGTCACTGTCAAAACCAGGAATTTTTCCAAGCTCCATGAACCAGGTATGCATGAAAACGGAAAGCACCTCTTTTGTATTTGTTGTTGAGGGACAAGCGGACTTCGTGCCATGGATCCCTTTTGATTGCCCTGGCCCTCAAGGCCTGGGAATTGGTTCCAGTGACGAGGTCAGCAGTGGGTTGAAGTTCACCTTGGGGGATGCTACCGTAACCATTGGAACCTTCGCCCAACCGTTTCTTTTTGATGCCTGGCAGATAGGATCAAGTCGCTTTCGCGCTTCAGTCGCGGAGACCTAGCAGAGAGCTCAAACCGTTCTGGAGCCGATCCCCAAGGATTCCCGATGTTTTTTTTTTTCTTCCCCAACAGCTGAAAGCTTTGGGGTCTCAGCCCAGATAGGCTCCGGGGTGGTCCGGGGCGGCCCTGAGGTATTGCTCCACGGGGGTTCCACCAGGGTTCCACGAGGTTCTGTGAGGGTTGCGGGATGGTGCGAGCACGAAAAAGAGTACCGCATGCTGTTGGGGTATCACCTGAGCTTATTTTTCCTTTTTCACATCACGTAGCACAATCCCGATTGACCTCCCCAAAAGCGTCAAGAAGAACTGGTTGGGCCAAGGTTCCAATTGTTAGCTTCCCAGAAGGTGAACTCCAACCCAGCATAGCTGACATTTCAGCCTTGAGCGACTCAGATCTAACAAAGAGACCCCGACACGGGGCTTTTGCTTTTTTTGCGGAGTCGGGTTACCTGGGCGTGCCTCGGCCCAGGTGAGCCCGAATGAGATCGGAGTAGACGCGGTTGCCGCAACCGCGGACTTAGTGGCCGGAGACTTGTGGTTCTTTTTGGACCCCCCGTGGAACAAACCAACTTTGGGTCCAAAAAGAGTGCTCAACAGAACTTTGGCCGGAGAAAGCAACCAAAGAGGAGAAAGCAACCAAAATGGGAGCGAGCGGTTCTCGCTTCGCCTTTGGAATCTTGACGCTCTCCAGTGTCCACTCCGGATTTTGATTGAACATGCTGCAGACATGTCACCCTTTTCCCTCCGCACCAGCCGTCGTTTCAGTCGATTCGCGATGCTCTTTGAAGCGGCTGGTGCTTCGTCTAGCCGGTAGTTGGAAGGGAGCCGTTCCGGAGCCGGATCCAAATTTCTGCCTACGATGGAGCTAGGGAATTGCGAGGAGTTCTGTAGGGAAATGGCATCATTTGCGTGTCGGGCCGATCTTGGAATTCATGGTTAGCACATGGCCCGGGAATCTCAAGGCTGCTGGCTCCAGCTGACAAAAAACAACTCACAAGCACAAACCTTAAAACACCGGGGACTCATTTTCTATCCGTCTGCATATTTGGACTGCGACACGTCACGCGTTTGCTGCGTTTTGGGTTTTGGCTCGAGGGGGTTTCGCTCCCAGTGAGCCCACTGGCTTTTGAAGCCATGATCGATGACAGGCAGGGTGTTTGGTAACTTTTTGGGTTGGGATAGGTTTGGATTTGGAAGTGAACCCTGTTTCTTTGAGGGCGGGACGCCACAGCCTGGCCTCCAAACCACCAGCTGGTTGCTGGTTCGGACCTTGGATGGCCACCCGAAGTGGTTCATAGCTCCAGTTTTCAGGCCCGAAGGGGGTTGACGAATTCGACTTGGGTGAATTCACCACGCTTCAAGTTAGGACCTGCTTTAGGCGGACAAAGAAGCAGCCTTGAGGAAACTCCTTTTGGGAAGTGGTGGGCCGCGTTGTTTGGGGTATGCGAATTTGCCGGGGAGTAGCAAGTGGTTTACAACCCTTTCCAAGTGGGTTGACAAACCCCATGGGACTTATGAACCAGGGTTATTAAGCACTAACTGGGGTGATCCTCCAAGCGGTCTCCTCTCTCTGCTTCCTTGCTGACACTAGTGGCTCTTCCATCAGCCACGATCTCCCGGCATATTTCTTTCCCCAAACATGGACATGAATCCATGTGGGTCTGTCTTTTTTTTGGGGGACCCCCAACAATGGTGTTTGATCTGTGGTTTCCTTCAAAGCCCACCCCCAAAAGGGACCCCCCAACAAAAATACAAACCCATGTGAGGTTGCAATATGGACCCCGTCAAAGCCTCTGGTCTCTGCCTGTGAGGCATGGGCAGCCGCGGCTGGCCGGGCGGCACAGCTTTGGCGACTCCAGTACCAGAAGGGCCTACATCGGTATGTGTGTGTGTGTGTGTCTATTCTCAAGGGCCCGTTCGTTTTGGAGGGTTTACCTGGAACCAGGAGGAACACATTCGCTTTGGGGTCCCTCTTGCAGATTTTTCTCATGATTTGCAGGGGGTCAAGTTATGTTGTCCATTATATCAGGCGACTTCCGTTCCCCATTCGAGGTCTCTCAAAACCTCCGTAAAAAGTTCTCGGGGATGGTCCCAACACAAACGGCGGTTTAGCAAGCCAGGTATGATGCTCGGGTCAGCCCCAACATGTAAGGATCCTTCCGTATCGCAAATGCAGAGAAGCTCAATCTTGCCCCTGCAAATTTGCATGATGCCCTTCCGCAGTGGCGTGAGCAAACGGCAAAGACATTAGCCTGTTGAGGGAGGACATGAGGAGTGAATGGAAGTCCCGCAGAAAGTGCTTGGCTTCATTTCGACTCCACTGTACCTTCCATCATTCTTGGAAGCACCCTTTCCACGGGAGGCGACAAATCAGATTCCATGGTCTTCTCCAAGCCCAAATGGGTTCCCCCAAAAACGGGGTCCCCCCAAAAAGGCAATCCTTGAACCTGGATGATTCCTTGTCTGGGTCCCTCTCGTGCGAAAGCAACTAGGTGGTGCACAACACCTTCCTCGAGCTGGATGATCAGCCTAAGGAGGCGCGAAGCGACAAGATGGGTTTGAAGGGAAACCAAAGGGAATCCACAATTTTGCGGGTCTTTCGAAGAAAAAACATCCCATGTCCACTCTGCCGGAGTCTTTTTTGGGGGAGTGCAGCCCGAGTTGCTTTTCCCATGAGCGTAGAAGCCTTTGGGGGATTCAATTCCTATTTCAGCGTTTGGAGGCGTGGCAAAACATAGATGTTTTGTCGAGCGACGGGAATTTTTGCATCATGTGAGTCACTGACAATGGTAGTGGCTGTGGGTTTGGGGAGGGCAATTTGGGGACTGCGGGGAAACGACAATTTTGGTATTGCAGGCGGTTTTTCCCCCCACAACCATGAGGCCATGTGAACCGAGCCGGTTGGCGCCCGGCTTTTGGAAGAGCCTGGGACCTCCAGAAGAGAGAGCCGAAAAGGGGGGGGCAAGGTGCCACATGTTGAGCGCACCCAAAGCCACTTTGACATCCTCTACTGAACGAACGGCCGTAGCGCCCTTTGTTCTCATTTTTGCAGAATCAATCCACGTCCTCCAAGATGACCTTATCGGTGCAGGCTCCCTTGCTTGGGGATGGCGACTGCCGGTGAGCTGCTGCAGTTTGTTTCATGTGCGGTTCACTCAAAGCTACAGCGGTCTCGTCAGTTTGGGAAGACATTGGGGGGACTCACTAAAACGAGGGGGGGCTCCAATTATCCCGTGCCCAGAAGGTAGCCGCATGTTATCACCGTGGCTCAGAATGTCAGTACCATTTTGAAAGCTCTGCTTGGTGATGACTTATCGTCTTGGCTCAAAGTGCAAGGCACTAGCATTGGCTGCACTCACAAGAGACTTTAAATGAATCGTATCAGGTTTGAAGTGTTTGTCGCCGACGCATCAGACGAGGGCTCATCGCAGGTCTCGCATCAAAAGGCAGCTTATTCATCTCAAGATCGATTTGCCCTCAAGATTGCATCGCATTCAGGAAACTTGCACGTGCAAGAAAGGCATTCGCATGAAGGCACCTCTCGCTTTTCTCCGCGCATAAGGGCTGCTTTTTGCCGAACCCATGCGCGTGGAGGTTTGCTTGCCCAGCGGCAGCTGTTTCCTGGCAGAACTCGGTGAGGAGTCGCAGGCCGGGCAAACACCGAAGGAAGGCTTTTTTTGAGGCTCAGAAGGGTTCGGGTGGGAACAGGGTCGTGGGATCTCTCGCAGTTTATCCCCACTTCTATCATATCTTCGGCAATCTGCCCTCTTTATATGGGGGTTAGTCTTTGGGAAGCCTGTTTTGTTGTATCACCGAAGGGGTCATTTCCCACAACCCTGGGAACGCTAGGGTTGTGCTAAGGTGAGGGAGCTGAAGAGAAGGGCGCAGCAGCACTTCCGCTGCGGCTTCCTGCGGCTGCTGCGGCCAGGGTCGCCAGGTTGTTGCGACTCTGGGACGCTGGACGTGCGGCAGAGCCTCAGCCAGGCGGGCTTGCGGGATGGGGATATGGTGCAGGCCGTGGTGCAGACAATTCAGGCGCGGAATGTGTTTGGGGGGGCACCAGTTGTTGGGCTGCTTCAAAGACAAACCCAAAAGGACCCCCCCTTTTTTTTTCTCCTTTTTTTTTTTTTTCTTCCCCCGTTGTTTCCCTTAAAAGTGCGGCCTGGAAACAAAAGCGCCCATCCAGGTGGCTGCCACGGGAAGAGCCTTTGCTCTCCACGTGAAGGCAGGGAAGGCGGCGTCTTGGGGCGATCCCGCGTGTGGCGGTGACGCGCCAGACCTGGCCCAGGTGCTGCAGATCCAATCCACTGCAGGTGCATTTGCGGCAATTCTGGCGAGTGGCGATGTGGTGACTTGGGGTGACTCTTTGAATGGAGGCGATTGCAGCGAAGTGCAGGATCAGCTCAAGCGGGTGGCACACATCCAAGCAACTCAGCATGCTTTCGCTGCTATTCGGGATGACGGCACTGTGGTGACTTGGGGCCAGCCCAAATTCGGCGGCGACTCCAGCCAGGTGCAAGAGCAGCTAACAAGGGTCAAGCATATCCAAGCGAATCAGTATGCTTTTGCCGCCATCTTGCATGATGGCCATGTGGTGACCTGGGGTGGCTTGAATTTTGGTGGCGACAGCAGTCAGGTGCAAGGGAAATTGACGTACGTACAGCAGATCCAAGCAACTTATAGTGCTTTTGCTGCCATTCGGGAGGATGGTGAAGTGGTGACCTGGGGTAATCGCTTGACTGGCGGCGACGGCAGTCACGTCCAAGAGCAGCTGACTCATGTGTGGCGGGTTCAAGCGACCCGTCATGCGTTTGCTGCTATCCGGGAAGATGGCAGTGTGGTGAGCTGGGGCAATCCTTTTTGTGGTGGTGATAGCAGAGAAGTGCAGGACAGGGCAGGGCCACCCTTTCAACAAGTTGCGCCCGCCACCATTTTTCATGTTTCCGGGTTTTCCTTGGAACGGGGCTTCGAGGGTCTAGTGGTTCAAGCAAATGTTGCCCTCCCTGCAGGAGCAGTTGATGCATGTCGTCTCGATCCATGCGAGCCCAATGGGCTTTGTCGCTGTCTCAAACAATGGCACGGTCGCATGGGGCGAGGCAAAGCAGGGGGAGCTCCCTGGCCAAGTACGACCGCAGGTGCAGCAGATCCAATCCACTGAAGGTGCATTTGCGGCAATTCTGGCGAGTGGCGATGTGGTGACTTGGGGGATTCCGTCGAGTGGAGGCGACTGCAGTCACGTGCAGGATCAGCTCAAGCGGGTGGCACACATCCAAGCAACTCAGCATGCTTTCGCTGCTATTCGGGATGACGGCACTGTGGTGACTTGGGGCCAGCCCAAATTCGGCGGCGACTCCAGCCACGTGCAAGATCAGCTGACAAGGGTGAGGCATATCCAAGCGAATCAGCATGCCTTTGTCGCCATTCAGGATGACGGAAGGGTTGTAGCTTGGGGCAATCCAGACTGGGGTGGCGACTGCAGAGACATTCTAGATGAGTTGGACTGCTTGTGAAACAGAGACCCAGCTGCACGTCAAGAGTGCTGAGGCGTGCACACGCGACATGAGTGCGGAGGTTACGCAGGAGGATTCCCTGCTTGAGAGGTTTACACAGGATGTTGCAGCAGTGCTAGCCGGATGCCGGTGCTGACCATGAGAAGGTGTCCAACACTGGCAGTGCTTGCTGATGACAAAACTGGTCCGTCGCCATGAATTCAGTGTTGCTGCATACAAAATAGACTAGACAGGCAGAAGTAGTGTGGTTGCCGTATCAAAAGACTGGCAAGGAACAAGGTATGCTTGCCAAGGCGAATCGCCTATTTGCAAACCTCGCAAAGGAGAGGCGGCGAGCAGCTGCAAAACACTGCACCCGCGGCTCGGCATGTAGTGACGCAAGTAGCTCGAGTTGTTCTTGCGTTCAGGTGAACCTCAAAACGAGCTCCCTCAGTTTGAGAGAACTCCCAAAATGAGTGGTTTCTCTTCGGCTTCCTGCTTTAAAGCTCTTCAAAAAGGGTGTGCAGTCGGCTTGGCTTACCGCCAGGAGAACGGCAGGCCCCGAGCACAGACGGCCCGGGGCTCACACTGTGACGGGTCTCTTTTGAGTTTTTGGTTGGTTAGTGGGAAGTTGTGTTTTTGGTTTTGCAGATTGGGGCCCACTTGACAGCTGGCCCGCACAGACATGGGCAAACAAGCTCAACAAGACGAGGCCAAATACCTTCTGAGCTGCTGAGCTGCCTGTGAATACACGAGGGTGTTCTGAAGCCCTGGCATCTTCAAAGAAAGACTCGTGGATCCGAAGGTTGGCCAAACCCCTTCTCCCATGTCTTGATACAGATTGAGCCAAGACAAGCCGGGTGAACTAATGGCCAGGTTGGACAAGTTGCCCTCCATTTGCCAGCCTTTCTGGCCATCCGACCATGGGGATTCCGGGCATCCTATCACACCCGAGGACATCACATGCCAGAAGGTGCCACGGAAAGTCTCCTACCACGTGGACAATGAAGCGGAGTCGGGGCCCTGTCTCAAGCCGAGCGAGGGGGGGGGACCCAGTTTGGAACAAGACAGCATAGGTTTCCACGTCTTTTTTCTTTTCTTCTGCAGTCGCAGTGGCAGGCCAGCGAGATTGGATTGGATGTGTGGAGTTATCGAGCACGAAATTAAAAGCCACTGAACGATGCAACATGCAAGTCCGTGGTTAAAGGTATGAGACAGATACGTTTATGATGACCATATTCAGGCCCAGGCTATCATTGCAGGAGGTGTTCTTTGAAGTCCCTTGCAATGTTTGCAATTTTCATGCCAATATTTGATTGAGTGGGCTGGGATACCTGCTTGTATTGTCATCTCAGGATTTCAGTCTGAACCATCATTCCACGCCTCTTTCAGCAGTTGTGTTTAAGGGATGGATTGCATACCTCAGACGTGTCAAGCTCGGACTTCCTTTGAATCCACCATTTTCTTTTTCTATTCTGGGGCGACCTCCTGAAACCTCTCTCAGGGTCGCCTCCGAATGGCGTTGGCCGCACGCACGAGGCAGATGCTCGGATCAGCGCCTGCGTCCCGGAGTTGGCCGCGTCGAGCGTCGGGAGAGATGAGGATTTTCACCAACAAATGGAGGTTTGGCTTGAGATCACGGGGTCGAGACTGGCCCTTGTCTAAGTGGGTTCTTTTTTTGGGTGGGATCCTGTGACAACCAGGGCCTTTTTCGTCAACGCACATGAGCTTCATGTCGGCTTCCGCTTCCATCCCGAAGGCCTCCAACTTGTTGATTTGTCTTTAAACAGGCGAAGTCAACAAAACCTCATTTTCCTCTGTTCGTCCAACCTTGCAAGAGGGGCCGACTCAAGAAAAAAGACACACACGCACACACACCTCGACGTTCACTGCTCATCTTTTGGGCGACTTGTTGCGCTGAGGCACGCCTTCTTGGGACCCTTGTCAGAGGCCGGAGAGTGGCCTCGGGACATAGATGAGAAGTCACCTTTGCTTTTTCCTTCGGAGATGCCCGTGCAAGTGGTAGGTTTCCCTTTGGCTGTCGGGCAAATCAGCCGCACAAAGGGTTCCCTCAAAAGAGCGGCAAACTTATCTGACTCATATGCATTTGAGCGCGTCTTGCTCTTATTCTTTGCGACAGATCATATTTCTTAAGGTATCTTTTGCCTTCGAAGCAAATTGCACCTTTGGCACGCAAGGTGGAAGCCATGGTCCAAACTGTGGGTCATGTCTTCAGCACCCGGTGGTTTTCTCGAGGGGATATCTTTCTTCTTCCCTTTCAAAGTATGGGCTTCTCTGAATCAGGCAACCCGTATTTGGGGTTTGGATTGGTGGCTTGTTGATTTTGAACCCCTTGTTCTTCTCTTGTTGGGGATACATGGGAAGCCATCCCCAACCACCAAACCACCAAGCCAAACCGCCAATTGGGGGGAAGCTGACAAAGCCGTACCAGGGCCCACCTTCAGGACCCCTGTCGGCAGCATGGTGCTGCACTGCGGTCGTTTGGCTGCCAAGGAGAACATGCCCTGCCTTGCAATGGACCCCTGGTCCAGGCAACGAGGAAGCAGTGCATGCTCGTTTCATACCATCTAATGAGGGTCCCTTGACATCGGCCCACTTGACATTTCCCTGAATGTGGCAAACGGATTCTGCGAAGCGTATCATCTGCAGCATATTTTTCTGCCTTACACTTGTTTTTCCAGTTGCAGATGATGCTGTACAGTACACAATTTGGGAGTTGCTTGGTTGTCAAGCTCTTTTGAAGAATAGCTGCATGTTGTGTTTTGCTTATCTCGCCTGCATTATTCGCCTTGCTCTCAGTGTGGAGCGGATGTTGGTCACTCGCAACTTTTCTTTGAGGCGCTTGGATTGCTTCCAGGCGATACATTCTGTTCATCCCAGTTGGACCTGTATGTAGGTAACCAAGTGAACCAGCTTTAACTGGGATGCACTGGCTATGCTTAATTTTATTTTTTGCATCTTTCTCCTCTAGAGCAGGTTTCCTGCTTTTTTCAACAACCCGGGCCTTTTCCCAGGGTGTTCTTTTGGCTGTTCCCCCAAGGTCCGCTGCTTTTTTCAAGGGCCGTCTCCTCGGCCTCGCCGCTGTTTTGGACCCCAACAAAAGCGAATTGTTCTGCCAGGAAATGCCGGCGGGACTGGACCCTGGCCAGGCCAGGAGGGTTTGTCCTCTGACCTTTCGCCCCAACCCACCCCCGTGATTCTCACCCGTGATTCTCCTTTTGGTTTGCCCTTTCAATTTAGAAACCAGGAATCTGGTCCATTTTGAGAAACTCCCAACAGAAATGGTGGACATGCCTTCAGTTGACTTGGCTGTCTCTAAAAGTCGAAAGGTCGGTGCCTTGTGCTTGTGTGGCCTGCGACGAAGCCGGCAAGTTGTCAGAGACCCTACGGAGGAGTTCAGTGGAATTTCTTCTTTGGGATCCGCTTTTGGGCTTCATTTTGCAGGGGAGCAAGAGAAATTGGGGTCAACGCCATGTGTCTTAGTCCGTTGTCTATGGAAAGATGGATGGATTGACTATGCTGCGAAGGGGGCGACAACAGGAATGGTTGCTATTCTTCTCGGATTGAACCATCATCCGTGCTGGCTCACAAACTTTTGGCTCAAATGGCGTAAACAAGGGCCTGTCCATCCTAGCCAAATCCAGGAGCTTGTCAAAAGGCCCCGTTGATGGTTGAACATACTAGATGCAATTGCCCTATGAGTGTGTCTTGTTTTGAGGGCGCTCTTTTTGGGCTTTTGGGGCATCTTGACCCTCCTCTTTTGCATCGTGCCAGATGATGCGCGGGCTGCATAATATGGGCTTGCCCGGACCTTGGATCTTGGCGCGTCGATTAAAAGCGCAAGGTGCATGTTCGTTTTTGATTTTGCGGAGGTAGGAAGGGGCTGGCAAGTGGAAACATTCTGGAAGAGCAACAAACATCGTTTACAGGCGTTTTCCTGCCACAGCTAAGGTACCCCTGAGAAACCCAGAAGCCCCCCCCCCCCTTTTTGTGGCTTAGGGCTTCCCATATTTTCAAAAAGAGCTTCGTACAAAATGATGGTTGTGGGTCAGCCAGGAAGGGGTGGCACCTGTAAGGGACCAACGATAACCAGCTTGGTAGATCCTGCGTGAAGGTCCCTTGGGGGATTCCTTATTTCAGAATTGTCAATAGTACTTTGCCCAGATGTTTGCCAGAGTGCATGAAAGGGCGGACTCCTTGGCAATCATTTGAAGATCCCTGGCTGCATGCACATGGCACGTCTCAGCCCAGTTCAGGTCTGAGCATGGAGGATGGTTTCGTCGAATTCTGTCGCCCTTGTGCCAGCGCAAAAACCTGAATATCCTAGAAGATAGAGGTGCCATATAAGGTTTGCCTCAAAGCTATTGAACTCCTGAAGATAGTTTTCTTGGTTTTCCTTTTCACCAACCCCAAAAAGGACACCCTCAAAAGACGAACCCCTTTTGGCCTGGGGAACCTCGCCCATGGACCTCTGGGTTCCTTCGAGCTCCGAGCTCGCGGTGATGGACAAAATCCAACGCACCAGTTGGGATGGATGAAACCCTACTGTGGACGGACGAAATCCCGCACCACCCAACAAGCCCTGGAATAAGAATTCGCTTTGAATACCAACACATACTGGTTTTCCATGGTTTAAATCTGGTGCGAACGGATTTCGCAACCATCCACAGTTATCAATACCCTCTTTTCAACAATCATGGAAGCGGGCAGGAGCCTTCCCAGGAGGACAGTACTCTTCCAGAACCCTCCTCTCAGCTTCCATTGGAAAGAAATTCCTGAAAACAACCCCCAATCCCAGCTGCTGCCTGTGGATTTCGCCCATCCACGGGAAAGGACATGCCGAGTGCTCGAGGCGCTTTAAGTGGGATGCAAGACTTCATTTTCGAGTTTGACCAATCTTCTACATGTCATGAAATAGGGAGGCAACTCTTTGGGCCTCATTGCCATGCGCCGTCCTAAGTCGATGGGTTCTGGGCAAGCTGAGATGCATCAAGTAGTCT